TTTTTTTTTAGAAACAAGTCAAACTGCTAGAAAAGACTGCACATTTTCCTGCGTATATGCAGGAATGAACGGAATCTAGGCAACATATTACACTCCTAATAAATAGTGAACATAGCGTGCAGCACCCAGCTCACTAGTTCCAAATCGAGAAAAAATTACATTAACTGAACACGTACATGTTGACTAGGGCACCTATCACAAACGGCCGTAAAGAAGAAAGGAAATATAATATTTAGTTACGAATATCTCACACACAACAAATTGTTGAAATCTCAATTATCGAGCAGTTTCAAATCCAGGAAGCCCTGCGAAGATGGCAGTTTTGTCAAGCTGAAATAACTTCTCTCAATTATTAACAGTCATAAAGACGGATATTGAAATTCCATTGCATCCATGACAATTTCCGCCATGCGATGTTTACACTTGTTTCACTCAATAATCCTTGACTGAATACGTATTGAAGGCGTCTTCTGAAGCGCTCCATCATTCCATCCACTCTCGCCGTAAGTTCGAGCTCAATGACCGATACTGTTACACCCGCATCCAATCCATCAGAGGGCGGTGCGACAGGTTGAGGAGTATCGCATCTCTTTCGGCGATCCTACTACCAAACCGAAAATCACGAAGTACCTTGAAGTCTTTCCAAGCATCACAGAGCTGCACAATGAAACCATCCATTCTCGCATACGGCAACACGTAACCAACTCCAGTGTGATTTGATTCACACACAAGACCGGGAAAGTATGCGAACTCAGAGCCCAAATCTGTTTCTGGGCTGCAAATTTACGCTTTGAAAAGTAAGCAGCGGTATTTCAAAATGATTTTAAGCGACTACCTTAAGCTGTCCAAGAAAGCGGTAGGCGTCTTATCATCTGCAGTATGAATGCCAGTTGTAGAGTCACTTATGTCAGATGAACCGCAGAGCAATTTGTGCAGTTCCATTTCGATTTTCTCTGTGGCTCCAGCAGAAATATCGGTAGAAGCGCTCATCGACGGAGATTTGAAAGCAGTGAAAGCCTGAATATGCATCTAAATTAGGATTCTGAAAATCACGACAATTATCTGCACCAACCGATGTCTCACTCAAACTAATTCTGGCAGATTTCTCCTTTGGAGCAACATAGACGGGGCGATTCACAAATGGAGGAGGAGCTTGTTGTGCCGGAATCGCTATGGGATGAGCAATTTGAGGTGCAATCTTTTCGATCGACCCACGAGGAGTTTTGGCAGCAGAACCTGTAAACATTTCTTACTATGTAATACTTCTGACAGATCCGACACTCGCTGAAGTACTATGTCCGAAGAGCACCACAAATAGATGAAAATTACATATATAAACTTACCAGCAAGCGCATTTAGTACACCTTTCCCCAAAGGACTGTGCTCAAGAGGGCGAAAGTGACTTGCTTGAGGCGGATGATGAACGCCGGAAGATGCTGCTGCAAATCTCGAAGTATTTCGCTCCAGAATACTATCACGTGGGCTAAATGTGGCCATTTGCGAAGCCAAATTCGGTATGTTTGCAGGAGTATTTGCAATAGTTTCTTCCAGAGAAGGAATATTTGGCAGACGAGATGTCTAAAGTCATCGATCTCAACATTCAATATAGCGCATCAGTACAGATAACACACCACCGCATGTTGCTTGGTATTGTACGAAGCGGTGGCCGTTGGGGCACCAGGAAACACCGACGCTGAGAACAAGGCATCCATAACTGCCGAGATATCTGTACAGCAACGAAAGCATTCAGAAATCTCAACTGGCAAAGATCCAGCTAACCTTTTGTGTGTGCATCTCCAAATGTGGATAAAGTGCCCGGTTTTTGTTCTTGTACTCTTTGCCGCTCGGTAGCCTGAAATATTACACCTCAAACTGCAAATCATAAAAAGGTTTTTTGTCTGAAACTTGGCGTGGCTACTTCTTCTAATTATCCACATCTATTCGATAGGGATAAAAGACGAGCTTTTAAACATATAACTGACGTGCCATGTGGCTTTGATCCAAGTTCCCAAAGTGTACGTTGCAAACAGTCCTCCATAATTTCTACTAAAGTTTGTGACAAGTTTTACTTTGCTTTTGCACATATGAAAAACTCCAAATTAATTTAAAATATACATTCAAAACGATTCAAAGTTTGAAATTCGTTAATTCATTGGTGATTTGGAGCAGCCCAAAGTTCTAGCGGGGAAGATAATGCGTCAATACAAACAACTTCCCATAGTACAGTAACTAATAACTTCCTCCAAACTTATACAGATTTTGGACCATCAAAATTTTTACGCTCGTTTTCTCTTCAAGAAGAAAATTCATTAAGAGACAGATGAAATTACCGCAATAGCTCGTCGTTCCTGTTCCCTTACAATATATTTCTGAAGGTCTTGGACAAATGGCATGACCGTATAGAAGTTATGATTAGACAGAATTCCTAATCTATGGAACTGATCATTGCGGTCTGTCGGGAGATCCCAAACGTTAAACCATTGAATTTTCCTGAAACAATAGCAAATGTAAAGAAGGATGAGCGCATTAATACTTCTTACCTTATTTCGTTCCTCGTCTGTGGAGCAAACGGGAAGTCCGTTGGTACGTCGGGCACAATATACAATCGTACCATTGTTTCATTTACAAATTTTTGAAGTTTCTTCTCACCGCCGTGAGGACGATGATCACCAAAATTAAATCCTGTTTCTTCAAAAACTTCACGGATAGCACAACAACGCGGTTCTTCCCCTTCATTGACCTTCAAAATAAAATTGTAATTATGTGTTTTAAAGGAAGAAGAGACCGCACCTTTCCTTTAGGGAATCCCCAACTGTTCTTACTTGCGTAAAATCCTTGCACCAGCAAGACATGATTTAGTGACTCATCTAGGAGAATAGCTCCGTATGTGGGAACTGTTGACTTATACCATCGCCATTCGTCGATTACCTAAATGTATATTTGAAACTTGTGAAAGCGAGTGTAAAACAAGAGAAACGAAACCTATGTGACTTCAAAAGCCGAGACAAAACGCTATGGTGGAAGAAGAGTGATGACAAGAAAAAATTGGGTATAAAATAGCTACTGTCGACTCTAAGATAGTTTTAAAGAGAAACATTTATGTCGTGGAAGACTGCTGTATGCTTACACCTTCTTCTTAAAATACAGCAAAAGTACCACAAAGTTGGCAGATTTCTATATGAAAAAGACAATTTTCAAGTAATTTCTCCTGTATCACCTAAACGAGGTCGAAACTCGATGTAAGAAACAGTCTTGGCATGATCCCATATGAAGCCAGAGAAACAAGAAAAT